ATATTTCTACTTCGAGAAAATTTAAATCCATCGCATCTTACCTAGAATTCACCTTATTTTCTGTTCCATGGCAGATCAAAAAGCTAAAAAAAATATGGCCTTTTCATTTGGCTTCGCAGTGTATTCCATGGCTCCTAGTCCTCATCATGGAATGTCTCAGTGGCCATAGTCATCCATCATCACCATTGTTGTATTTGAGAAGAAGAAGCGTCAGCTGTAACGGCGGAGTACATATTTGATCATCCATCTGGCGATAGTTGATCTCGTAGTGGGCGCAGTCTCTGGACCACTGCAAATTGAACACAGAATGGCTACGATCTGCAATCTATGGACGTACAATCGTTTTGGTGGAGGAAGGAAAACCGGAGAACTCGGGCAATTGGAACTTTCTATGGATTTTTCTGAGAATGTTACCGCAGTAACACCAATGATTGTCATGATATTTAGAACTTTATTTTCTTCCATTTTATTTATTTTCTCTAACGTTCACCGTTTGCATCCACATTTTATAAACTCTCAAATTACTAAAGGTGTATTTACTAACTCGAGGAAAAATATTAACATCTGCGCTGCAACCCTTTCATAAAGCGATGAAAAAAACTGAAGTTTACAAGAAAGTCTTATTCAAGCATTGTTCAGTGTCCACGCAAGATGTTGGATAAGGACTTCATTAGTTCCAAGTCAATAGTTTTCAAGTCAAATTAAAAATGTATGTTCACTGTCAATCAATCGAAGTCCGCTTAGGTCAATACTCTCTTTTTACCCACTTTGATAAACAGTGAAGGTCATTTGCATTTAGGCGGATGACGTTCCAGGCATTTACGTAACGCGGTGTATTTCGAAGGGGGCGAATCATGCGAAACACTTAGAAGAAACCTTTTCTTTCATCTCCTAACTTATCTCGCTAACGCGTTAAAAACTGAAGTTATCAAAGTTGATCCTTTGAATTGTCCTTTCGACATGAATCCTGGCTTCTGCTATTTTTTCAGACCTTTCCCCCTTTTCTTTTTTCATTTGTGACCTCCCTTGGCCTTTAAAATTCGGAATAGTAACCTTAACCCCACTTTCACGGATTGTATCACTTATATGAAACCCCCTATTAGCCACAACCTCATCTCCCTGCTCCAATGTTGCTAAAAAGTCAGCACTATTTTCCGTAATGTGCTTGTCAGATGTTCTCCCACCCCAAGCCCTGGAAACATAAATGATAGCAACGCAAGTATTAATGGCTACTAAAAACTTAAAAGTGCTGTGGCTCTTATAATTTGAATAAATTTTCTTGTTAGCCTGTAGCGAAGATGGCTTTTGTGCAAAAATTTCTGTACAGTCAATAATAACATTCAAATGAGGGAATTTTGAGAACTGCTTTGCCTTGCAAGGATCTTCATAGCAACTGGGCATCTGGCACGGGTCCTTCAAATAAAAATGTAGTAAATTTACCCAAGTGGTGAATATTTTACTCACACTTGATTCACTTAAGCTAAATCTCAGGGTCAGGTCTGTTAATGATAAATCAGATACAATGGATATCCATTGTATCTGATTTATCATCACGGGTTTATTACGAATCAACTTAACGGCCTGCTTCCAGTTGGCTTGTTAGCTCAATTGGTAGAGCGCTGCACTAGTATCGCAGAGGTCAGTGGTTCGAATTCCGTACAGGCCTGGTCTTTTTTTCAGGTCTGATTTTCGCCATTGCATAAATAGCGCTCTCTACTGCAAGGATCGTGCATCATACGTATCTACAACCGCAGTTCAAAATATATAAACTTCATATATCCATTGTACCGAATTCAGTTATATTGTTCCAGAGTCTAAGAAGTCAAGGCAAAAAAGTTGTTTTTATTTTAAACTCCAGACG